CTGCAAAATTAAGGGTTTTTTTGAAACTATCTTGATGAATTTTTTATGTATTTTAATTTACAAACTCGCAAATTGAACATTTTCACATCGACAATGTGTATTTAAACTATTTTTCTTTATTTAAACTGCGTAATAAAACGTTTTATAGGCAAACAATGACTTATTTACTTTATAAGATTGCTAAAACAAAAACAAAGCCAAATCAGCAGTACGTCTTCGCGGATTTTTCATCAGCTACCCCTCATATACCTTTTAGAACCTTTAAATATATGTATAAGATTTTTACCTGAAATCAATGACTTTGTTCCAGGTAGACTGGTGAATTACTTTGTATGTACTTAATACTTTTCACATTTTGTGCCATCTTTTTAAAATACTAAATCACTTGGTGTAAAATATTTTTCTAAGTGAACAGTTTATTTTTTATGTATATGTCTAGTCTAGGTCATATATCGGTAACATATTACTGCTGTAAGTAAATAATAAACTAATGATTATTACTACATTATACAATTGTCTAGATTGTACACAGTTCTCACATTTTATAATACACGACTGAATTATTATATATTTATTATACCTATATAATTAATATACAAATCTGACATAGTTTCTTTGAAAAGAGTTAAATATGTCAATTGGTCAATAACATTATATTAAAAACAATTATATTGAATAAAATTTATGTTAAATTATTATTCACATTCATTGGTCTAACCGTTTATATTTATCCAGGGAGAGATCTGTTTAGGGTTGGCTGACTAAAGGTAGTTGGCTGGTAGCTAACTCTAAGTTCGATATGTTTCAGCTAGAAAATTGGTGTAAAATCTATAAAAAAATTAGAACGAAAAATTGATGATAGGGTCCATTCGCTTAGCTCGCGCATGTTTTGACAGATTCATACAGTATTGTGCGAATTAATGGAATCATAGGCTGTTTTAATGAAAAAACAGTTTATTTAGTAAAAAATTATATTTTGACAAAACTATAAAGGTAAACTTACATCATTCAGTAGGAAATATGTCCCCCTTTGGAAGCAATTACTGCTTTTACCCGTTTTGGCATAGATTCTATGAGTTTCTGGCAGTTGTCAGATATCCTTTCATCTCGATACCAAACCTGAATGGCCGCTTCTATCATTTTTGTTTTAATGGTACAGTCCATTTTTCGCAGTCTAGCTTTGCAAATAACCCATAAATTTTCAATGGGGTTGAGGTCGAGCGAATTACCGGGCCAATCTACAACATTAATCTTCTTATTTTTGAAAAATGCCATCATTTCCTTTGATTTGTGACAGGGAGCAGAGTCCTGTTAAGAATCGCTCCTCATTGGGGTTGACATTTTTAAATAAACTTTTAATAAAGACTTCTTTCATTGAAAAAAAAAAGAATTGTTGCAAATAGTAGAAGTATATACTAAGCCCATAAAATCTTAGGTGGTATAAATATTACATAAACTATTACTAATTTGAATTTAATAATCAAATATATACAAATAATAGTGTAGGACTTATAATGGGCAATCCTATAAGCCCATTGCTATCAGATACTTTTATGGATCATCTAGAGATAAAGATTTCAAAACAACCCATATTCAAACTTTTTTTATATTGGTGGAGATACGTAGACGACGTACTCGTATGTTTCACAGGAACTCGGCCAATTTTTATCGTATAGTAATTCACTTCATAGTCATATTGAATTTAACAAACACATAAAAAAGAAAGGATTAACACTAGCTTTCAAAACAAATAACAACTTAGGCAAATACATTAAAAACAACACGAGCCAAAATTAAAAAACACTTACACAGTGGTGTGTACAAACTTAAATTTGGCGACTGCCCAAAAACTTACATCGGTCAAACTAGTAGAAATTTTAATAAACGAATAGCAGAACATAAAAGGGCTTTCAATAATAAAAAAAACAAATTCTACATACGCACCTCACCTTTTAGATCATAATTATTCTTTTAATGGCGAATTTAAAATTATTCACATTCAAAATAAAGGCCTTAAGCTATCTTTGTTAGAATCTATGAAAATCAACAAATTTGAAAACACAGATATAATTCTAAATGACCAACTTAAGAAAAACAGTTCTCCCCTCCTCAACCTATTTCATTAAAGACTATAAAGTGTAAACACATGCCAAAAATAGATTACTTGAGAAAGGCAATCAGCCGAAACAGGTGTAGTGATAAGAGTTTAAAATAAATTTTGGGGAAGTTTTCATTGTTTTATTGATAAAATGAACTTCCATCAAGTAACGGTCAAATCCATCAATTATTTAACTGCATGTAATATTCACTGTATTCTTGAAGGCATTTGATAGAGGAAATCACATTTTACTGGGTGATATTTTTTTTCCAATCTATGTCACCGTGTTTACTAGTTTTTTATTAGGCAAGAACTTAATAGATTCAGATCGGATATCACATTATATTATTATATCATCTGATGTAAAACATAGTGGCTATCGTTTACCATTACTTTTTACCATCTTGATTAATTATGATATCTTGAAGATAGTGCATCATCATCATCATTCTGGCTTTACAACCCTGTGTGGGTCCTAGCCTCCCCAAGAATTTTTTCCAGTCGTCCCTATCCATCACATTCCTCCGTCAAGTACGTATTTTCATATTTCTTATATCTAGATCTATGTTATCTAGGAATCTTGTTCTCGGTCTTCCTCTTCTTCTTTGACCAATAGGTCTATCAAGGAGTGTTTTTCTAGCTGGCTCGGTTTGCTCCATCCGCATTACATGGACTACCCACCTCAGACGTGCTATCTTAATGTTTTTTACGATATCTGGTTCCTGGTATATTGTTAAGTCTTCATTAATTATAATTTATTGTTCTTATTTTAATTTACTAAAGGTTCAATATTTATAACACTTACAAACTTAATTTATTTAAAGTTTAATTATAATAATTTATCTAACAATAATTTATTATTACGATCGTTACATTTAAATACGCAATCGCGAATTTATCTTCTTACTGACTGGCCTCCTCAATGAAAATCCCCGTTATTTATATGAAAATACAGCTATTCGAGAGCTCAGGCGATTCCCTCTGAATATACTAGAAAGTAAATCGGCCGGGTCATCATTCGACCGGTTTATGGAAACTTCGAATCGTAGGGGAGCGACCGTTTCAGGTAGATTTCTACCAGCTGATAAAATCTAGAACATAATTAGTGAATAAACAACATGTTTACAGGTTTTTTTAATATGACTAATTTCTACGTAACAATGTTCTATAGAGTTCGAAGTTGTATCGTCTTCTCCAGTCACCATTTTCATTTACCGCTCCATAGATTCGCCTTAGTATTTTTCTTTCGAAACATCCTAACATGTTTTCATTGCTTTTTGTTAAAGTTCAGGTTTCTGAACCATATGTTAGAACTAGATAGTGCCTACTGTGTAAAAAATAGTGTCTTTCTTTCAAGATGATCAGATTCTTCTACAGAATGATTTAAATAATCTTATTAAGTGATGTTTGTTGTAACTTATTTCTGAATTTAGTTAAATGTAATTACATAAGCTTTTATAAATGTAATGAAAATATAAATTCAGAGTAAACTATTGATTGTAATGCAATTAACTTTTACCATACCCACATAAGGTGAGTAATTGCAGATTTGGTATTATCGTAGATAAACTTTCAAGTTGTCAAACATTGTCGTGACCTACTTTAAGCAATTTAATTAAATATTTCCTTTAGTAACCTATGATTTAGTAGAATCCCTAATACTAATTATTATGGATTTATACAGATTTAAAGAACATTAAAAGTTATAAATGGTAATGGTTTTTAAAATTTGGATATTTCTTTTGTCTAGATTTAAGAGAAAATTAAAAAAACCTTTGGCACCAATGTAATGAAAATGATTTCAGTCTTGGTGAAAAATCATTCCCCAACTAACCCCCCAAAAATATCAGCATACATTTCTCCATTTTAGTGTCTTTTTTTGAAGCCCAATTTAAATATAAAATGAATCACTTTATAAATCCGTTCTCTGAGCTTGCATGTAAAATTATCCTACATAATTGTATATCCTACATAATAGTATACCTACAACACGAATAATTCGATATAATAAAAACAATTTCTTTAAATGCTATGGAAATATTATGCTCTGAACAAAAAAATATAGTTTGAAAGACCTGAAATAGAAAAAATCCCTCTTAAATCAGTTAATCCAGTTAATAAAAGAAAATCAATTTCATCACCAGTTCTTTTTCTTATTCCTTTATTTTTTGCTTTACAAGTTTGCCTTCTAATTTAACTGCATCCTTGCTCATCTAAACATCTTAACTCTTAAATAACATTTACCATATTTATTGACGAAAAACTTACCAACGTATTAGTTGATGAAACAAATGGAACAATTTGGCTATCCATAATAATTAAATTCAAAATATAAACCAAATCAAAATAACAAACAATGACACAACAATAGAACTATATTTAATAAAATAAACTGGTAATTAACACAAATATTTACAAAAATATGTTAAATGATAAATAATTATGATTGATCTAAAGATAATTAAAAAAAAAGACTTATCACCTATATGTCCGGTAAGTGTTCATAAGTGTAAAATTGATTGAAGCGTTAAGCGCCAACTAATTTTCCAATCAAAATAGTAAAATGAAAGATGCAAGTTAATAAATATATAAAATCAAAAGAAATTAAAAAAAAATAATTAATCAAAGAAGAGAAACAAACGTGACGTTTATAACCTTATAGTGTCAACATTTTTAAAACGTGAGGTATTATTTTTAAAATTCGGTGTATAAGCTGACAAGGTAAAAATAATATTTACCAAATATATTCTTACGTAAATTACAACTTTACAAAATACAACAACTTTCCTGACGACAACCCTGTGTCAAAGATCTATCAAATATCTTGACAATTATCGATCAAACAAATACGAAATATGCATACAGCAACTGTCAATCTAAAATAAATTTAACTAAAGGGAGGCAGATCGTGATTTCAAAATGAGTTTACCAATATTGCAGCCTCATCTTATTGTTGGTCTTGAACCAACGATTCGTGGTAATATTCACTATCTTTCTGATGATGATATCGTATATCCCGTAGGGTGCGTAGTGGCAGTGCATAATATTAACACCAAGAAACAAAGGTACATTAAATTATCAGATAAAGGAAAGAATTTAACACATTTACTGGTCAGCCCTAACAAGTAAGTCCCTTATATTAAATAGTTACTAGATTATGTCCTTAATTTTAAAAACCGCGTAACTTCATGTTTTGAAAAAATATGTGTTTTTATCTTCTGTGCTATATTCAAATTTGTGCGTAGAACACTTCTCTGTATATATCTGTCGTGTATACCATTAAATGTACACAGATATAGAAATGTGGTTTGTTAGGACCTTTGAAGCGACAATATATGAGCAATAATTTTTGATTTTTGGCAATCAATCAACATTAAAAGCAAATACAGGCAAATCTTTGAGCTACCTATTCCGCATTTTTTGCATAATGAAGTCACATGTAGTCATAACTTTCATTATAAAAGTAATTTAACCCCATCATGCTCATTATAACGTCGCTACTTATTTTCTTATAAAACTATATTACACCAGTCAATCTGGGATAAAATTATTGATTTCACGTAAAAATCTTATACAGACATATGAAGGTTCTAAAAAATATATAACGGATGACTGATGAAAAATCAGGGAGAACTATAGCTGATTTTGCTTTGTTTTTGTTTTAAACAATCTGAAAAAGTGAAAAAAAAATTTTACCTATAAAACGTTTCTAATGCAGATTAGAGAAAAACAATTCAAATAAAAATTGTAGATTTTAAAAAGTTCGTTAATTTGCGAGTTTCTGAATTAAAATATATAAACAATTCACCAATATAGGTTTCAAATTGTAATAACTGTGTTTTTGAATAATGACATGTAACTCTAACAAATAAAATGGATACATTATGCGCTGAGTGTAATAACCAATTCGACTTAAATCAAGTTTTTGCTTGTGATGGATGCTTTGTATGGAATGTGGTAATCTAATAGCATCTGAAGTTAAATGCATGCAGTTGAAAACGAAACGTAAACTAAAGTTTTTCTGTGAACAGTGCGAAGTTGGATTTCACAAGGTACCTACCAGCTCTATTAAAAGAAGTGTGTGAGCTTAAGGAAAGTATGAATAAAATTCTACATAAGGAAAATGTCACATCTGTTGCACCAGATATGGAGGATATTATTTCCGAAATGCAGGAGAGGCAAAATAGGGCTTCCAATATAATTATATATAATGTTAATGAATCTGTTAAAAATAATCAATCGGATCGTAATGCAGAGGACAAACAAGCGGTACTAAATATTTTGACTGATTTTAATATTAACAAAAATAATGTTAAACTATTTAGACTGGGAAAATTTGCTAACAGAACGAGACCCATTAAAGTAGTATTAAATACAGCTGATGATGCTAAAACTGTTGTCAAAAATAAAAGATTAATTAAAGTGCCCGATGTCAGAATTTCCCTGGATCAAACAAAAGCCAGCAAGAGTATTTCAAGAAAATCAAATTACAATTAGATGATATGGTTAAGAATGATAATAATTCTAAAACAATTAAATTCATTAACAATAAGCCTACAATAGTGAAAAAAACTACTAACCAGCCAAAAAACTGAGAAGTACCCTAAAATGTTACTTTCATAATGTTGGTGGACTTCGAACTAAACTCTCTCAGTTAAGGGACTCTTTGCTACTAAATGATTATGATATTGTTATTTTGATTGAATCGTGGTTATCTGAAAAGTTTTTGGTTAGTGAGACTGATCTATTAAACTATAATGTTTATAGACAGGACCGCTATCAGCATGGATTGGACATTGTGGGCGGAGGAGTGTATATTGCAATCAAGAAAAACCTACCCTCTAAACTAATATGTAAGTCAAATTTGCTTAACATAGAACAACTTTTTGTGGAAGTTAAACTGAATGATGATCAGCTTATAATAGGAGGAATCTATATACCACCTAGATTAGCTGAGGCATATGAATATCACTGCACTTTTCTTGAGGAACTGATAAGTCAACATCCACAGAGTTCTGTGATCTTGGCTGGCGATTACAACCTGAGAGATGCTCAATGGGCTAATGATCAAAACGGGGTTTATTTATCTACCATACTTCCTGATGGATCTCATGCCAATACAGTTTGTGGATCTTTTGCATTTTTAAATCTCCATCAGTGCAATAATATACCAAACAGACATGGAACATTCCTGGATCTCATTTTTTCACATATACCTGATCTAAATGTGTGTACGCCGGTCGATCCATTGTTTTGCGAATCATTCAGGCATAAGCCGTATGAATTTTTTATCCCTATTGGTTATTTTAAATAGTCAGTTTTTTATGAAGACTATGTTTATGATTTCAAAAACTGTAATTTTAATTCTGTTAACCTTTCTCTATCTTCAGTTAATTGGGATGCATTATACCATTGTAATAATATAAATGAGGCTTGTCAAATATTTTACAGCTATATGTATCAGTGTTTAGATATTTTTGTTCCTATGAAGGCTGTCAAGTGTTCCTACAAGTTCCCAATTTGGTTCTCAATAAAACTTAAAGATCTTATTATTCAAAAGAAAAAAGCTCATCTGAAGTTTAAATTATCTAATTCAAATGAGGACTACTTATTGTTCTCTAATCTACGTGATCAATGTAAAGTTGAACATACACTTTGTCAGAAACAACATTTTTCATCTCTTGAAAAAAATTTTAGTAATAACCCCAAGGAATTTTGGGGATACATTGGCAGACTTCGTAAATCTTCGAGTTACCCCCAAGAAATGTATCTCGGTAACAAAAGGGCACAGGGCAATATCGAAATTGCTAACCTTTTTGCTGAATTCTTCTCTGGTGTATATGAGAAAGATAAAGGTGCTCCCATTCCAGATTTTAAAGACTGTGTCAGACACATTGACCCTGTAAACCTAATTCAAGTTGACACTATATCAGTGTTTGATGAATTAAGTAAACTTCCAAACAAATTCTCCCCAGGGCCTGATGGAGTCCCACCGGTATTATTAAAGCACTGTCTATGCTCTCTTACTATTCCCTAAAATATCTTTATAATTTATCTCTTATGACTGGTGAGTTCCCTCCTTGCTGGAAGAACAGTTATATTGTACCCATTTTTAAGTCAGGTAAAAGAAAGAATATTGAAAAATACAGAGGAATTTGTATACAGTCAGCAATCCCAAAACTTCTCGACAAACTAGTGACTTCTCACTTATCAAAACTAACACACTCTACACTCTAACACAATAAGGCCAGACAGATATAAACTCCTACTGGATCAGAATAAAGAAAGACATTGAAGCAGTAGCGAAAGATGAAAGAGGAACAGAAATGTGTACCCGTAAAAATCATTGTTTTGACTAGGAATGCAAGAATGCAATAAAAGAAAAAAAGAATCCTACAGAAAGATGCTGACCCGACGAATTAGAACAACTGTAGAGAATTACCAGACAAAGAGAAGAGAAAAAAAAAGAGGACACGCAAAAGAAAAAACGAAACCGAAATTAGGAACTAAAATATATAGAAAACCTTAACAGAGAGAAATAATTCAGAGCATTTTATTAAAAAGTTAATATCAACAGAAAAGAATTCAAGACAATGCAGAAATCAGAATGACGACCTATTAACAACAAGGAGAGATGCATTAAATAGATGGGTGTAATTCTTTAATCAGGCACCTAATATAGAGCAAGAAAAAGAAAACATAAAAGACGAAAGATATAAGGTAAGGGAAACAGACGAGAAGAAAGAGGAACCACCAACTATTCTTGAAGTTAAAGATGCAGTTAACAAATTAGCCAGAAACAAATCTCCCGAAATATATAATCTTTTAGCTGAACTATATAAAAAAGGTGGCCACTATAACATAATGGCATTCTAGCAGCTTATAAAAGAAATTCTTCTGCTTAAAGTACCGTCTCCCTACGGAGGTTGGCAATCATAATCGCTATTTTTATTTTTGTACTTGCTGCTCTAAACAAATCAATCGATCTGCATTGATACCAATCACGTAGATTCTTTAATCATGAGTTTTGCCTTTGGCCAACAAATCTTCTTCCTTGAACCTTTTCCTGAATTATGAGTCTCAAAATTTTATATTTTGGTCCCCTCATCACGTGGTCTAGGTATTCCAGTTTTCTGGTTTGTATAGTGGTGATTAGTTTTGTTTCTTTACCAACCCTCTCCAGTACTTCTTTATTTGTAATTCTATCTGTCCATGATATTTTTAATACTCTGAGGTATAGCCAGAGTTCGAAAACTTCGATTCTTTTTAAATTGCATTTTATTAGTGTCCAAGTATCAGCTCCATAAAATAATATTCAAAATATATAACAGCGAATGGTACGTAGTCTGATCTCCAAATTTAGATTTTTCCACGTTAGGAGTGGTTTCATTCGTATAAATGCTTATCAAACAATCTCTATTCACCTGTTTATTTCTGCAGTATGATCATTAATATCATTGATCAAAGTTCCCAAGTACTGATATTTTTCTTCTTGTTCTATCACGTTACCATTGATTGTCAATAGGTGATGTATATTTTATGGTCTTTTTGTAATTAGCATCTACTTGGTTTTTTAGCGTTTATATTAATTCCCATCTCAGCACTATTTATACTTAAGCTTTCGATAAGATGTTGTAGATTTTCTATACTCGTTGCTATGATCACAGTGTCATCTGTATATCGTAAATTGTTGATTAATTTTTCGTTAACGGTAACTCTTGCTTTGATATTATTGAAAAAATGCGTGTTTTGGAAAATTTCTTTAGAATATAAGTTAAACAATAGTGGCGATAAAACACATCCCTGTCTATCTTCTCTACAGATCTTGATTTCTTCTGAGTGTTGCCCATCAATTTGAACTATAACACTTTGGTTCCAATATAATGTTTGCACTATATTTATGATTTTACTGTCAATGCTCTTATTCATAAGTATTGATATTAGTTTTTTATGTCTTACTTTATTGAAAGCTTTTTCGTAGTCAACAAACCACAAGTGTATATCAACGTTTACATCCCGACATCGCTGAATCAATATGTTAATGACAAATAGTCCTTCTGGAGTACCCATTCCATTTCGGAACCCGAACTACTTCTCGCTAATATCCTGCTCTAGCCTTTCGTAT